TTATACAGACTTGATAATTTATTCAAAGGCGTTTAATTCATAGGAGTTTTAGTGCATGATGTCATAGATTATTTTTGTTTGTTTGTTTAAAACACCGATTGTTATTTTTAACCAAAATAATAATGCACTTTTATTAATTTACTTTGTAAATATTTAATAAAAATTTATTAACGCATTTTTACTCTGATTTTCAAAAATGTATTTTTTGGTATTGAGGTGATCTTATTTCATTATTTATATTTCCATTATAACATCCAATATATATTATAGCAGGGGCTTAAAAATTAAAAAATTAATATATATTATTTTTTATTTTACAGACATACATGGAAACATTAACTTGAATGTTCCTAAAATATCTTGCGGAAGAATAAAAAGAATAACACTAAAAATCTGCAAAATTTGCGAACAAACTAATTCTATTGGTTCAAAAAACACGCTGACTAAGCAAAATAAAGTTCTAGAGTATTCTGTTGAAATGTTTTAGGAATTGTACTATTTACTATTTGTTGCGTTTTGAGATATCTTGCATAAATTTTTTTAAGAATATATTATCAAATGAACTTTAATATTATGGTTCATTTTTAATACTATATATACTATAAGTATATATACTATAAGTATATATACTATAAGTATATATATATATATATATATATATATATATATATATATATATATATATATATATATATATATATATATATATATATATATATATATATATATATATATATATATATATATGTATGTATGTATGTATATATGTATATATATACTTTAATATTATGGCTCATTCTCTGAGCCACATCTTTAAAGCCGTAAGACTTTTAAACTATTATTATTTGTTTACAAAAATAAATGTTTTATAATATATATTTTTTAAATTGTCAAAATTTTGAAAAGTTAATTACAAATTATATATTTTATTAGTATATTCTTATTTTTATATCTTTTCTTAGTGCTTGGTTTTATTAATTGTTCGTTAGTTTTGTAAAAAACTAACGAACAATTAATAAAATAAACTTTTAATAAAATAAGTAACTATAGTTAGCTATTTGAGTAAAATTTAATAGTAAAATTTTCAAAGAATTTCTAGAATGTTTCCAATGACGTCATGCTCTTAAACTCCTATGATTTAAACGCGCTTGAATAAATTATCAAGTCTGTATAATGCGCCTGGAAAATAAATAAAAGCTTTCAACTTTTTTTTAACCTTTTGGCTTAAACAAAATCTTCACTCATTAATAAGTTATTTAATCGTTTTTAACCGGCGTTTAGTCATTAGAAACATTCTAGAAATTCTTTAAAAATTTTACTATTAAATTTTATTCAAATAGCTAACTATTGTTACTTATTTTATTAAAAGTTTATTTTATTAATTGTTCGTTAGTTTTTTACAAATCTAACGAACAATTAATTAGACCAAGCACTAAGAAAAGATATAAAAATAAGAATATACTAATAAAATATATAATTTCTAATTAACTTTCAAAATTTTGACAATTTAAAAAATATATATTATAAAACATTTATTTTTGTAAACAAATGATAATAGTTTAAAAGTTTTTACAGATGTGGCTCCGAGAATGAGCCATAATATTAAAGTAATAGTTAATTTGATAATATATTCTTAAAAAAATTTATGCAAGATATCTCAAAACGCAACAATTCAAAAATAGTACAATTCCTAAAACATTTCAACAAAATACTCTAGAACTTTATTTCGCTTAGTCAGCATGTTTTTTGAACCAATATAATTAGTTTGTTTGCAAATTTAGATGGTTTTTAGTGTTCGCAAACATTCTTTTTATTCTTCCGCAAGATATTTTAAGAACATTCAAGTTAATTATGTTTTCATGTATGTCTGTAAAATAAAAATTAATATATATTAATTTTTTAATTTTTAAGCCCCTGCCATAATATATATTGGATGTTATAATGGAAATATAAATAATGAAATAAGATCACCTCATTACCAAAAAATACATTTTTGAAAATCAGTGAAAAAATGCATTAATACTTTTTTTTTTAATATTTACAAAGTAAATTAATAAAAGTGCATTATTATTTAGGTTAAAAATTATTTTATCTATTATTTTGAAAGAAAAACTTATAACAAAAGAAATCAAAATACACATGGTCTAGACGATTATTTAAGAAAAGTTGTGCAAATAAAATACTATTTTGTTTTTTATTTTATTTTTGTTTTTTATTTTATTTTGTTTTTTATTTTGTTTTACAAACACATTTTAGAACTTTTAAATATAATAAAAATGAATATGATTTGGAACTTGTATGTAAAAAATAACAATCAGTGTTTTAAACAAAAAAAAAATCTATGACTTTCTCTTTTTTTAGGGTGGTTATTACATTTAGCAACAAAATTAGATAAGGCGAAGCAAAAACAAAACAGTTTGAAGTCTACAATTTAAAAAAATGATTTTCCTTTTCTTAACTTTTTTTTTAAGAGGATAGAAAAAATCTAAATTGTTTTAATTGTAAAATATATTTGTATAATTTTAATGTAACAACAATAATAATGTAATAACAAGGATTAAATTAAGCGGATGCAAAATGCAAAATCTGGAAAAATATCTAGTATTCAAAATTTTAGTTTATACAAAACCGTGTTTTTTGTTATGTTAAGAAAGAATCAACTTAAATTTGTAACCGAAAAAATAAAAAATAAAACAAACTTTCGATTACAAAAGTAATAACACTCTTGTCACTAACTGCATTACAAAAGTAATAACACTATAATAGTGTTATTACATTTATAACGCGCAAATAACTTTTCAAATTCCTTCTTTGTTCAAGCAATATAATTAATCCCAAATTTTAATTGAAGTAGAAAAATATCTAGAAGAATAAAGTGGATGTTCAAATAATATTTAAAACTTAAATAACTTATAAAAACGTGACAAACAACTTTATAAAAGCGTAACGTATTAAAAGTTTAGCATTATGAAAAACATTACTGATGTACCGTTAAAACGAAAATTAATTTTGAAATTAACCAATAAAAATTTTTTATTGGTTGATTTAAAAATTAAAGCGCATTTTTACGTAGCGTTTTTCATAATGCTATAATTTTTATAAAATACTCTTTTATAACGTTGTTTAAGTGATCTGTAAAAGTTCCTGAAATTTTTATTATCAGCTTTATTTTTTCTAGATGCTTTTCTACTTTAATAAATTAAAAGTTTTGAATTAATAATGTTGTTTGAACAGAGAATGAACTTTAAAAAAAATAAGTGCTTTATTAATGTAATAACACTATTATAGTTTTATTACTTTTATAATGCAGTTAGTGACTAAAGTGTTATTACTTTTGTAGTCGTAAGTTTTTTGTTTTTGTTTTGTTTTTTGTAACTTTCTTGCTAGCAAACTTTTAATAATTTGCTCCTTGTAAACAAAGTACACAGCTTTGCACAAACTAAAATTTTAAAGACCAAATATTTTACGAGAGTTTGCAAATTGCGATAGAAATCAAGAAATCTTTCCTATCTTAATAAATTACAGTTGCTTGGTATCGAATCACTTGAAGTTGGGCGCCTTAAAAACGATTTAGTAACTTGCTTTAAAATTTTTCGTAAACTTGTCTGTACTGATCAATCTATGTTCTTTGCGATTGACATAACAGCTATACCCGGAGTCATAATTATAAAATAAGCAAACAATCTTGTCGCTTGGATTTAAGAAAATATAGCTTTTCTTATCGAGTTGTTGACATGTGGAACAATATATCCTCGGAGGCTGTAAATGCAAATAACATTTTAACGTTCAAAAATAAAATTAAATCTTTCGACTTGAACAAATATCTATTGTAAAAGGAATAACTATTTTTTTTGTTTTTTTAATATTTTTTTTTTTTATTTTTTTGTAGCGATTTTTTTAAATTTCTTTGGGCACAATGTTAGTGTCCGTCTTTGTATGGGCCTTCATGTCCTTTAGAACATGTATTTATACTTTGTTCTAATAAATATCAATCAATCAATAGTATAATTTAAACCTTGATATATACTTGTTACATTATAATTATACAAATATATTTTACACAAACAGATGATGATATATAATTTTCTCTTTCCTCCTTAAAAGAAAAAACATAAAATATAGGAAAGTCATTCTTTTTAATGTTTAATTTTTTTTTTTTTTTTTTTTTTTTTTGCCTTAACTGACTAAATTTTGTTGCTAGTAATAATAACCACTAAAAAAAAACAAAAATGAAAACAACACACAAATTATTTAAACTATTATTGTTTCTATTTAAGTTTACTTTAATTTCTTATGTAGTTTTTAAATTAAAAAAAGCAACACATAATAAAACTTGCGCAAACGGCTATGATCAAGTTGTCTAAATTAAAAAATGTCCTAGGAATGCTTGCGACTCATTGATTTGTTCTTTTATACTTAATAAAGAAAGTATAAATTAAATCTCCTGTGACGTTAACATCAAATAAATATTCATAATTGCACACAGCTACTGTTAGTAATCAAAAGAATTTTTGTAAAAGTCTGCCTGATAAATTTGTCATGCTTAAAATATCATTTTTTTATTAAATGAAAATTTTGGTAAAAATTTAGAGCAAGTTTCTTTTTATCATTATTGTCTCTGTAACCTATATCTACAATATTAAAATTGTTTTATAACTTCTTGTGCATGGTTAGTGAGGTTATCAGGCCTTGTTGTGACATTTTTTGCATAACAAAAACTTAATGGTAATAAATGCAACTTAACTCAGCTTCGATATTTACATCTTTAAAAGTTAAATAGTGTATCAAATTTAATTAAATTAAAAAATATTCAATTAAACGCAACATGATTGGTTAGTGTTGCCAGCACACAACTTTACTATTTTGTAATTGTTTATTTAATTATGTTACAACAAGTAATTATTTATAATTATGAGTGATCTGATCTTTTTAGCCATAACTGTAGAAAATGCCTTAGTATGCAAATGCATTTTAGAAATATATTCATATTTATTTTATAGAAAGCATTGGAAAATTTGAAAGTTGTGGAAAATAGTCTTGATCTAGTAAAAGAACTAAGTAAAAATATGGCATATCTTGATGGAGAGGTTGGCTTTTTTTTATATAACATTTTTAAAGCAATCATTGATATTTTATTTTCACTTTTTTTAAATTTTCAAACTAATGTATATTAGCCGATTAGTGAGTTAATTTATTAAAATTTACTTTATTGTATTGCTTGTGTTTTAGATTTTATTCAGGGATAATGTAATTCAGGATATATCAAGTTATCCTTAAATATTCAAGTGATAATTTATCAATATGAAATAATATTCATATATTGCTTTTAATGTCTCTTTGTTTAATGTATAACTAATGTAATTAAAAGTGAAATTTAAATAAACAATAAAATGTTTTGATTAAATAGTATTAAGTAATTGATTTTAAATACTATATTTTAAAATGTTAATGTTGTTGAAACTGTTAAATGCAAAGATTTTAGTAATTGAAAGTACAATAAGATTTTGCTCATTTTTTCAGAAAAAATAAACAATGATTGGCTGCCCCCACCCCCTCGCCCGTGTTTTTTTCTATATGTTAGGTTATAAAAATGTTTCTCGAAACCTTAAATTTTTTTTTTTAAACCACAAAATAAATTACCGGAAAAAAAAAGTTAGTTTACTAATTATCTAGAAGTGTAACTATCTAAAAGTGTTATATTGTAAATGCATAGAGTAAAACCTGGTCAAACCACACACTAATCAATAAAATTAAATAACTTTTTTTATTTTTCAATTTTATTTTAATTTTTTTTATTAGATAGGTAATAAAAAACTACAGATATAAATATACATCTTTAAAAATAAAAATCAATTTATCAAAAATATTAAATGTTAAGAAAAAAAAATTGCACTTTTAGGCGACATTCTGATAAAAACCTTCCACTTGAGAAAACTGATTTTTTTTTTAATTTTTACTTTTTGATTAAAACATATAATATTTATAAAATTATATTTATGAACTATATTAAAAGTTTTACATGTTTTGCAACAATTTGGTACTAACTACATATTTCTTTGGTAAACATGTTTCTTTTTGAGTTCCTTACTTTATATATATATATATATATATATATATATATATATATATATATATATATATATATATATATATATATATATATATAGATATAGATAATGATACCGGTATACCGGTATGGGCCCCCAAATTTCAGCCCAAACTCAATTTAAAACAGTTTTATATTAGCATTTGTTACGATTACAGAAATACCAACATTTGAAAAACGACCTTTAAAATACATTACAAATGTATTTTAAGCCAACCAAAATGCTTAATTTGAATTCACGTTGATGAAATATAGAATATGTTGTAATTGGATTAAATGTAAAACGCACTCTTTGATTGGATTAAAATATGAATCGCTTAGAATTTTTAAATAACATTTTTAAAATACATTAATTTGAGTTTCTCCTCCGCTTACATATTCATAACATAATTTTTAAAGCGATTAAACTAGATGAGCTTTAAGCTTTTTCATTTCAAATAACAGTAAAAATTGTATTAAAAATACTTTAAATAATAAAACGAATAAAAGTTTTTAAAACATAAAATAACATTTATTTAAATAATTAAAATAACATTTTAATATTCGCGCCAAAAAACTTGATTTGAATAGTAAGAGTAGAACTAGAAAAAAAAGTTATTAATTTTTGAATGATGTAATAAAAATTTCGAATGAATTTACCTTGTTTTAAATACGCTATGAAATAAATCTTATCAAATTTATATCAAAGAGTCATACAAATATTGTTTATTAAACGTTATAGTTGTTGCTTGTTTATGAAATCATACTCTTTATATTTTTAGTTAATAATATTTATTATTTTAAATTTAATAATTTAATAAATAGTATTAATTATAATTTATAAATAGTAAGTGAATGGAGCAAGTAAATGAAAAGTAGCGATTAGCGAATAATCGATGTTGGAGTTAAAGCCGTCATTCTGTAATAAATATAACATTATTCTAGTTAATTATTTAAATTTTTCTTAGAAAAAATCTAAAAGACAAGGGTGAGTTATATATTATATACGAATAATTGTATTTAAATTTGAGTAAAAAAAAAAAAAGGTCCTTTAAGGTAGACAAGATTTTTAGACCGGTATGCCCAAATTATTTCTGGATACGTCACTGATATATATACATATATAAATATATATATATATATATATGTATATATATATATATATATATATATATATATATATATATATATATGTATATATGTATATATATATATATATATATATATATATATATATATATATATATTTATATATATATATATGTATATATATATGTATATATATATGTATATATATATGTATATATATATATATATATATATATATATATATATATATTTATATATATATATATGTATATATATATGTATATATATATGTATATATATATGTATATATATATATATATATATATATATATATATATATATATATATATATATATATATATATATATATGTATATATGTATATATATATATATATATATTTATATATATATATATGTATATATATATGTATATATATATGTATATATATATATATATATATATATATATATGTATATATATGTATATATATATATATATGTATATATATATATGTATATATATGTATATATGTATATATATATATATGTATATATATATGTATATATATATATGTATATATATGTATATATATGTATATATATGTATATATATGTATATATATATATATATATATATATATATATATATATATATATATATATATATATATTAGGGTGTCCCAAAAAACAACTTTTTTAAAAATAATCTGCTCTCACCCCCTAATACAAAAACACTGAGTTTAAATTTTTTTTCAATAATAAATAATTTAAAGGGACCCTCAAGACCCTTGAATATTTAATGGGTCCCTAATATTTTCAAAAATAATGTTCATTTCGGAAAAAACGATACGTAACGATATTTCCCTTAAAATATACAATATTTGCCAAAACAAAAAAAAAAAATTCTGTAAAAAAAATTGCCAATTTTGTTATAAAAAAAAGATCCTCAATTTTCAATTTGGGTGGCGCTCAAATACAGTTGGCGCTGCTGAAAATGGTCTAGAATAGCCCATATATATATATATATATATATATATATATATATATATATATATATATATATATATATATATATATATATATATATATATATATATATATATATATATATATATATATATATATATATATAATATATATAGGGGTTATATATATATATATATATAGGGGCTATTCTTAGAGATGGTCAGACTGATTGACGTTTTTCTGTTTGCCCGTGTTCGTACGGTCCAAACTGGTCGAACACGAGCAACAATAATTTTGTCAAACAACCCGGACAACTCAGACACCCCAAACACCGGACAGAAAAACTTATGTCGAAGCAAACACCGATCGATCGCTTTGCACATGCTTGCTACCTATCGAAATTCGAAGTTGGCGCAGTCCATAAAGATTGTGATTTTGGTATGTAGTTGGAGTAGGTGTTGTGGCAGTTGTTAGAGATAATGAGGCTGTGTCTAAACAACATTGTTTAGTGTTGTTGAGGCTGCTAAAGTTAATGATGGTGGATTAAACATTTGTGTGATTGCTAATGCTATAAGATTTATGATCTTTCAGTGTTAAGACTTAAACGCAATGATTGAATGAAGCTTTTCTCAGTCATGAATTATTTGCTTTCATATCAGTTAATGCGGCTAGTATATTATCTTTAACACTTTTGTTTTTTTTTAGTTGATATTTTGAAGTGAGAGAGTCAAGTTAAATTATATAGTGATGATTATATTGAGAAATAACATATATGATTATATTGAGAAATAATTGGTTTTTAATGAGTAATTATTAACAAAACATTCATATTTAATTAAACTGGAAAAAACGCTAAGTTAATTAGATAAAGATAGGCGCTTAGTCATTGGCAAAAAATTAAATGAAGTAATTATCGCGTGTGTGGTTTTATCAGAAATGAGTTATTTTTACTTTTGATTTTTTATTTAACTTTTTGTTCTTACTGCATGAAAATTGTATTTATCAGAATGGAAAGTATAATATCAGAATAGAAATTAAATTTCCAACATGATGGTGCTCAAATTATTATTCAAATGCTATTTTTATCATAAAGATAAGAAATATATAAAATATTTTGACTCCCTGTTAAAGTTGTATAATAAAAAAAATAATGGAGTTGAATTGGCGTATAATTTTATCAGTTCAAATAGGAGATAATTCTATTTTTATTTTTTTCATAGCCATATCTGTTCAGTTTTTATTTGATAATTTCGACCAGTGTGCGGAATAATATGGTGTGCGGTTTGACCAGGTTTTACTCTATATTGTGGAATATATATTGTTTCAATTTTTTTTTGTTTTTAAATATTAAAAAAAATAAGTTTTTATTATTTATTTTATTACATTTTTTGTCGTTTAAAAATGAGTTTCCACTCATCTGTTTTTCTATGGAACCGGAAAAGGAAAAAATAATCACATAAGCATGTGTAATAAAAGTTTTGAATTGTCTGAAGGAAAAATGTGCATTCTCTTGTCATTATTTTTCCATTTCCTTTCCCGTTTCCTTAGAAAAATTAATGAGTGGAAACTCACATTAACATTAATTAATTTCTTACTTTTCTCTATATGAATAAAGAGAATTAAAGTTTTTTTATTTTTTTTAAATTGCGGCTTCATAAAAAATAGTTCTTACTTTTAAAAAATTTTACAAAAATAAAAAAATACTTGTTGCAAAATAAAAAATTCAAGTTAATAATGCTATTAATACTTTTTTTTGGGTGAAAAACTAAGGTTTAAGTTCAAAGTACTATTTATTAAAAATGTATACTTTTACGCTTTTACTTGCCTTGTGACAAAAATGTTAAATGTACGCTTTATAAACATTTTTGACATAAAGTTTTGTGTTGTAATTAAATTAAATTCTTAACTATGTTAAGAATCCTTTAAATTAATTATAAAAATTTTTGTTGAATTCTAAATTTGGTGTTTAAAAAAGATTATATTTTCTTATAATTTAGTTCTTAAAACATTAAAATTTCTTAAAATCTTATTCTTAACATTGACTGTTGTTTCATTAAACAATATCAAACTTATTTATCACTTATTTATTATAATATTCAAGAGTTTAACGATGCAATTGCGAAATGAAAAATGGGGAAAAATTTCTGGTCTTCATTAAATTTTATTTAATGCAAAGTCGTGTACTTTGTTTTCAAGAAGTAAATTATTATAAGTTTGTTTTCAAGGAACAAATTCTTAAAAGTTATAAAAAACAAAACAAACTTACGACTGCAAAAGTAATAACACTCTAGTTACTAACTGCATTAGAAAAGTAATAAAACTATAATAGTGTTTATAATACTTTTATAAAGCACTTATAACTTTTAAAGTTCATTCAACAATAATAATTGTTCCTGATTGCAATAGCATGAAATCATGCAATCATGTTCAAGCAACATTAATAATTCCAAACTTTAATCAAAGTAAAAAAGTATCAAAAAAAGTTAAGTGGATTTTTAAATATTGTTAAAAACTTTTGGAACTTTTACAAATACACTTAACTTTATAAATATTTTTCTTTTTGCGATTGCCTAATTTAACCCTTGATAATTTTAATAAAGATAATAATGTAATATTTAACATAATATTTTTAATAAATATTATTAAAGAAAAAAAAAATTAAGATAAATTTTAGTTACCTATAAGATATTAGATATGTTCATAAGAAAATTACGTCTAAACAACTTAAACACAACATATTGAATTAATAAGAATCGTTTTTAACCCCTTCTTATCACAACATCACAACTCTTTAATAACAAGTCCAGTACTAGTCATCACAAAACCACGTTTTATTCAAGAGACTCTCATTGTTTATAAAAGTTGTTATTTATAAAAAATAAAGTAATTTTTTTTATATCATTAAAAAAGTGCATATTTACATAACTTATATAATATTAATTTGAAAAATTATGTATAACTTTCAATGATACATTAAACAAAAATCATCATTATTTAATTGTTACTTTATTAAAAAAGCATTTTACTAACATGAAAACTTGATAAAGATAAAAGTTTTAATGTTATTATTTAAAAAGTATAATTCTAAATCTTTTTTATTCGGCGTGTTTTTGGAATGTTTGTTAAAATTGTTGCATTCAAATTGCCAAAAAAATATTATTAACATAGTTATATAATAGTGAACAATGAAATTCTTGACTAAGCGTGGGCTGTAAACAAGTAAAATACAAACGTTTTTGGAAAACATAGTTTTAATTAAACTTAATAGTGAATAGTTAAGTAGCTGTTTTTATAACTGTCAAAACCCTTACCTCAACCAAAACTCTTAGTTAATGTATGTACCAATTAATATAATTTTACATGTCATTAAGTATGTGGAGCTGAGCTATTGACTTCAAGCCTTATTTTTGAAAGTATTATGTTTACAAGAAAATTTCATAAGCCTTTATTATATAAACTTTGCTAATACAGTGAACGCTCTATATAAGCAACATTCTTTATAAGCAAATTCTGTACAAGCAACTATTTTTAGTTCAACTGTTCTGTATAAGTAACTTATTTTGCTAAAGCTAAATATTTAAGTTGAGTTTAGGCTAATTCAGAATTAAAATCAGCTTTTCACGACAACATAATCTCAAATTATAAAAAATTCTGTTATTGGAATATGTTTAGTTTTTGTTAATTTTTGTTGAATAGTAAATTAATCAAACTCAACCTCAAAGTTAATTAACCTCAAATTGTAAAATATTCTTTTATTGGAATATGTTTTCGTTTTATGCTGCCAGTATTTAAGTGAATTTCTGTTAATTAAAATAGTTACTTGAATTCTATTAGTTTCTGTTAAGTAATGAATTTATTAATATTTTTGAGCTTTAAATTCAAACATAAAATTTGAATCAGAAGAAAAAAAGACATTCAATATTGTTATAAGATTAACTATCCATTTTAAAGGACATTAAAAATGGTGAAAAAACAAAGGACTTTGGTAACAAATACAAAGTTGCTAAATTTACAATAAGTAGAGTTAAAGAAAATAACGAAAATTTATCAGAATATGCAACCGAAATGTATGTAAATTAAAGTAATATTAGGCAAATGAAGACAATAAAATATAGTAAAATTGACGATACAGTGTTTTTGTGGTTCTTGGAGCAGTAACAAACGATTTAGTTCCAAATGAAATGATAAAATTAAAGGCACTATAAGTAAATAGATTAAATAATGGACCTAAAACATTTTTTGCAAGCGATGGATAGTTAACGAAATTTAAAAAATGCCACCATTTTGTTTGTCTGTTTGTGGAGAGGCTGTCTTGCAATGTGGAGCTAGCTAATTCATTTAAAAGTAAATTTCAAAATTAAATTGCTGATTATATCTTTTTGCCTAAACAAATATATAATTGCGACAAAACTGGTTTCGTCTATAAAGGTTTGCCCAATAAAACTGTTACAAATTTTTTGAAAAATCTGCTGCTGGAAGTAAAGTAACAATTATGCCATGCGTATACACTACAGGTGTGCAAAAATTAAATATGATAATAAGAAGGAAATCAAAATCACGTTGCTTCAAAAGTATGAATTTGCCAGTATATTACAAATCATTCAAAAATGCTTGGCAAACTTATACATTTTTTAACGACTGGTATAATAATATATTCATATTAATATAATACCTTCAGTAACTTGACACTTGAAGGCTAAAAACCTTCTTGTAAAAGCCCTTTTCTTAGTAGATAGTGCAACTTGCCATGGGTATGAGAATAAGTTTATTGGTGATCCCAATTACAAAGTTATGTTTTTTTCCCCTAACAACAAATAACAACACACCATTATTGCAACCACTAGATCAAAATGTGATAAAATCACTAAAACAGCGCTGTTGTAAACATCTACTTTGATTTCTCGCAACCTTAGGTGCAGAAGCTGGAATAGTTTCAGCACTTAAAAATAAATTTTAAAAGCCCTTAAAAATAAATTTTAAAAGATATTGTTTATTATGTACAACTGACATAAAATTCCCGCGTCAGTTATGCAAAATTCATTTAAACATCTGTGTGAAGTGATGAAATTCAATACAACATTCCTTCTGATAACTTTTCAGAAGTAGATGATATTTCTTTTGCAAGATTGTATAATTCATTATTTAATTATTGTAATTAAGCAGATACTAAAATTATGGAGCAGGCATTTGGAACAAACGAAGCAAATCATCCATTTAATCTTGAAGGAAATCCTAAAGTAGAAAGTGGAATAACTCCTGTTGAAAAAAAAAAATGAAAAAAACGTTGGATGTCTCCAATTAAAACATCAAACATTTAATTAAACATCAATTCTTTAAATTTTATGATAGCACAAAAGAAAATGACTGCAATTAACTACTTTTGTTACTAATTATAAGAGAAAAAGCTATCATGAACAAATAAATGCAATTGTTCTTGTTGGGCAATTAGTTCTGTATTAAACTAAAGATTTATAATTTAAAATTTGGTTGTTAATTTTTTTTAAAATAAAATTATCGACTACGCTTATATGATAATAACGATAAAATATTTTCTTTTGTAAAATAAAACTAGAATTTATTTTTTCTACCTAGTCTAGTTAGTAAAAGAAATAAGTAGAAATATTTTACTTATTTCTTTCACTACATTGTAAGTTTATTTAGTAAAATAAAGTATTTTTACACTCTTTTTTTCCCTACAAGAAACTTTTTTATTGAAGTTGATTCAAATGAGTTGCTTATATAGAGTGTTCAGTGTAATATAACCAGAAATATTACATCTACTTTATATTCTTCATGATTCAATAAATTTAAGCTAAAATGTTTAAATAACAAAATAAGTTTTTCTTATAATTCTTATAACCAGAAGTTTAAACATCAAAATCTTGTATATAATTAAGCCAACATTTGAGTATAAATTTTTTTGGCATAAGTTATAATATAAAATATATATAAAAGAAGAAGTTCGTTTTTATAATTTAAAATACTTTTTTTAGTTTAAAAACTAGTAGAGTTAACCTGGTTTTAAAATTAGATAATAGTATTTAAGTAATTAACTATTTAAAAACTGTTATTAAATTTATTAAATTATTTGTTATTTACAACATCTTTTGAGAATTTATTTATTTACATTATTTATAAATGTCTAGTAGTTAGTTGTCCTTGCTACGGTATGATGCTTGATCAGTATTATTTTTTTTTTTCATTATTAAGAATTGGTTTATTTTTGATCTTTTGACTATATTTCACCTTGGTATTAAATTTTCCAAATTTTTAGTATACAAAGCACCTGAAAAGAGACCAAAAGAGAATTAAAATTACAGAGGCAGCACAGAGTGATCAATATGGAAAACAGTTAGTCCACCGTGTTGTCGAAGTACAAGCCATACTTAGTGATATGTCAGAGTTTGTTCGGCCTGATTTTTTAAATGGTGTAAACAGCGCGTGTAAATTAACGAAAGATGATTTTGATAATCTTGATGTGTTCTATGAACTTGTTAATCCAAGTATTGATCCTACTATTGATTTATCAAAAGTTAATAAATTATCAGTACGAGTTAAAGAAGCCACTGAACATTTGATAAAGGTTGTTGAAGGTAAAGATCTTCCAGCATTAGATAATGGTACAACTTACAAAGAACTGCAAGCACTTATATCACGTATTAAGTTGAGTGGATACTTTGAAAAAGATAAAGTGAATGGTTTGGATGAAAACGTAAATCACATTGTTCCTGAATCAGCTGATTCTGAGCTACATGAAGATCATGAGGATCATGAAGACCATGAAAAAATAGATCATAAAGAAGCAGAAAATGAAGAAGAGGAAGTAATTAAGTTTGTAGCGGTGTTGTACTTAAAAGTTTTATGTACTGTTTAATTTTTTTTCTTTTAAGTTTATTTTATTATATAGTTAAAGTGATCACCAAGTGCCAAGACAAGTTGTGTTCATGTCATAAATAATTCCTAAAAAATAGGTTTCATGTTAATTAAAATTTCTAGCACAAATTATTTATAATATAAATTATTAAGCAAAAAACTTTATAATTTTTAAGGTAAGTTCTGGCTCTGGTTTTTAATATATATACTGGTCTGATTAATGCTTTTGTAGTGAATAAACAATGTCAATACAGTAAGGTTTTTTCAAATAACTTAAATGTTATGTTTCGGTTTATTCTTTTGTAATTAATTTTTATGTGAAAGAATGACTTTACATATAACCTTTTTTAAAAAGAATTAAACTTTTGTAACCAAATAAAATATATTAAGATCATCAAGGTAACACTTCAAAAGTCTTATTTTATTATATAACAAAACTAATATTAGTGCTATATGTATAAGTAAATTTAAAAATTATATGTGTTTTTGATAAAAACAAGTTAATAAAATCTTTACTGAAAATAGTATATATATATATATATATATATATATATATATATATATATATATATATATATATATATATATATATTATATATATATATATATATATATATATATATATATATTAATTTTTAGAGTTATATATTAATTCTCTAAATTAAAAAATAGAAGTTGATATTAACTCCAAAAAACCATATTAACCTCTCAACTAGAGGTATAATGGCAAAACAACACATGTTTTTTGGTATTATTTCAATAAATAGTTTTGATAATTTTGAAAAACCTAAAACTTATTTTTTTAATGTCTATTTACAAAATAAACATAACTTGTCTTGGCACTTTAATGAGTAGTATGTTAGGTAGAGATTATAAGTATTGGTTTTTAAATCAGGCAATTTTAATCTGCCTGTCCTAATTTACTGTACCATGTCTCTACATACGTACCTAACTGTAACTATCTGCTATTTTGTAGCTGTCTCATCATGTGCCTCTTATTACAAACATGGCCTCACTACATTATATATATATATATATATATATATATATATATATATATATATATATATATATATATATATATATATATATATATATATATATATATATATATATATATATATATATATATATATATATATATATATATTAAAACTTAAAAGTAAAAAAATACAAAGCTGCAACAGTCTACTTTACTGCTTTCACTTCTTTTGAATTGTTAAAAAATATTTGTTAATTAAAAGATTTTTATACATTCTCTTTTCCAATAGATAAATGAAGTCACTTCTCCATTTGATGAACAGTTGCCTGTATTGGATGGTGTTGATCTTCCCCCAGAAGTTCAAAGGACTCCCAATGAAGAACATTTCAATTTCTTATCTGAATCAGAAATATTGGGTATGAAAATTTTCTTATGTTATGATTACACTTTTTGTTGATAAATTTTTGTTATACCGAGCCACTTTTATTTTAAGGTGGTGTGAAAAGATGTGATTAAGGTTTTTGTAAAACCTTCAATAATTAATTAATAGTCATTAAGTATTTAACTATAGGAGAAATTTTCTGTTATAGGGTCTTCCATAAAGTACATAATGTGGGAAGCAAGTTACTTGAAAAACGTTCAAATGCGTTTATGGGAAGGGGTGCTGGTGACAGTGAATATGTATGCAGTTTGACTCTCATTCTGTATCTCTCCTAAAACTAGGTTTTTTAATCTAGTTTTAGGAGAGATAAAGAATGTTTTAGGACAAATAAAGAATGACGAAAATGTTTTAGGAAAGATAAAGAATTAGATAAAGAAAAAAAGAGATAAAGAAACATAAAAATGTTGAGTTAAATAAAAGTTTTTAATTTTTGTTTAAAAAAATTTTGCATTGGGAAGGAAGGAGGGTTTTGTAAAAAATAATGTGTCAGGGTGAGGTAATATGCAAGTGTATAAGATATACAGGTGTATAAGAGAGGAGGTTTGTCCTAAATCAGCGGTTTTACTGTGTATGTACTTTATGAATGCCCCTATGTCAATTTTTTTTTTTTTTTTTTTTTTTTTTTGTATCAAATTTTATGAAAATTATAAAGTTTAATAATATATAATTATTTATTGATTGATATAAATATCTAATGACTTAATTTATATTAAATAATGCTGTAATAAAGTTATAAATTTTTAAATAGTTAAGCCTTTAAGTCCAACATAAAAACAACAACAACAAAAATATATTTTTGTAGTAGTGATAATCAATATGGACTGGTTTTATAGAAATAATTTAAAGGTGAAGTTGTGAATGGAAAGTTGTTGTGTTTAGTTTTATATAATTCAGATGAGTTTAAAATTGAAACCTTTAGCATAAATTATAACACACTTCTAAAATGAGCATTGTCTGGTATAAAAAGTTTTGATTTCACTGTGTTATTTTTATTTAAATATTGTTAATTATTTTTAAATGAACTACTTAATTATTTGACATAACTAGCCTTATAAAAGTATTGGTAAGAAGGACTAATACTTAAATAATTTTTGAGGGAACAAGTAACACTTTTATTCTTCAAATATTCAATAAAAATAATTAGTCTTTATTAGAATCAACAATAGTTTAAATTCTAAAAAAAGTTTTGTTTATAAAATGTATATAAATATTTGAATATAGTTTTAATTGTATGCATTTATCAGTAATTTTATAATTTTTTAACTAAGTTCATGGTGATGGTCAACAAGCTTCTTTAAACCCTGTCAGTCCTGAGTTTGTACCAAGAAATTTTCAATTGCCTTCAGGTGAAGTTTATGAAAATGGTGTGGCTGATAATTCTGATGCTGGATGGGAGCAGGCTCCAGCGCAAGAGCCAGGTTGGCAATCTGGTAAGTATTTAATCTCACCTTTTTGCTAGTTGTTTGGTTAAAGTTTTATATTTTTATGTTGTTTTATACCTATAAGTAGTATTGTATTTTTTGATGAGGAATTTAATTGTCACGTGCTTACATTTGTGTGTTAATCTAACATTTTAGTTGAAAATCAAAACTTCCATAGTGGTGGGGGTTTTAGAGGCAATCGTGGAAACAGAGGCGATCACCGTGGTGGGCGTGGTTTTGGTGGTAGAGGTGGCAGAGGCAGTCGTGGCGGAAATGGTTCTGCTGGTGGAAATTTTCGTGGTGGAAATAAACAGGTACTAAGGGTTTAAATTTAACAAACTTGATTTTAATTAAGATTGATTAATTATAAAAGTTGAATTTAAACATTTTTAGAGTGCGTTTTTAATCTTAGTTTTTTTTTTATGTTTATATTCATTAGTATTATATTTATCCTTTTTTAATTATATTTATATATTTAAATTTAATTATAATTATATATAAGTATATATTAAATAACTTAGTATTATGTTTGAATAATATTTTAAGTTCATGGTTTTAAAAAGTTTATACCACAGGGTGTCGGCCAGATCAGGGAATTCAGATGTCAAAAAAAATCAGGGAAATGTAAGCAAATAAAATAATAAATAAACAAAAAGTAAATTTGGGAATAATCATGGAAATCGGGTTGATTTTTTTAAAAGAAATTTAGTGATAATGGCTTTCATCAAACTTACATAGCTTAAGTACATAGTACAAGTAATATATAATTTTATTTGGTAGATAGTTTTAAAAACTTTTTTTGATACTCAGCATTTGCTGAAGTTAAGTTTTGGTAAATTTAAATTGAATCAGGGAAACCAGGTAGTGGATCACGGAAAAATCGGTAAAATCCATCTCAAAATAATGGCAGAAACCTTGTACTAATAAATGTAATGCAGTTATAGTAACGTAAAGTTCTATAAAATTCGTAAATAAAGTCTTATTTATTCTTTTTATCTTAATTATTTTAATTGTTAGGATGGTCATCGTGGTGGAAATCGTGGTGGTCGCGGTGGTGAATTTCGTGGAGGAAACCGAGGAGGATTTAGAGGTGGCAATCGAGGAGGTCCCCGTGGTGCAGGGCGTGGCGGAAGTCGTGAGAACAAACCTCAACAGCAGCAATAGGCAACCCTACATAAAATCTGAAATTGCAAGGCGTTATACAATCTGTTATAAAACATAGTGCAAAGCTAGCAGAGTAGCTTGGTGAGAATGTTAAAATTCGTTTGCCGAAATGGCTTAATGTCAATAGATCTCATTCGTGAAAAAAAGTATTCGGTAGATGAAATAATCAATAGGCGAAACATTTGAGTTATCCGATGTTGTCCTTCGAGTAGTTTTGTACAATATTTTGGTGAACTTATACGTCAGAAAGTATTTTGTTTATCTTAAAGCTGTTTGTAAAATATTTGATAGTGTTTTATACTTCATCTTTCCATCGACTTGATTTAAAAAATTAATTTTTTTTTTCCTCTATTAATTGTTTAAGTTCTCTTTCAGTTGCGTTCTAGTAAACTTTAGTTAACAGACCGTCATTTACTTTAGCTACTTTTTAAACGAGCTGTTTCATCCAAATCTATCCATCAATTAAATATTTTTGTTTTTGTTTTAATCATATTACTTGAATCTGTTTAAAAAAGATATTTATTTTTAAGCTTCTTGTTCCGTAATAATATTATTGTAAGATGGTGTAAGCATTGTCAGATAATCAATTTCAAGTAGAACGAAATTATTTTGTGTTGTATTACAAGTTCAAAATAACAATTAGCATATATCGTAAGGTTTTAACTATATTAAATAATTGTATATTTATTTGCTAGTATTTAACCAGCTTGTGGCTTAGTTATTAAAGCGTTTTAAATGCTTACTAAATAGAATCATTTTTATTTTTAATAACATTTTGAGATTTTGTTTTATAACCGATAAAAAATATTCTTTGCTAGAAAACTTAAGTCACAAAGTATTAAAAAATACACATCTACAAAATCTGATTAAGTTCGTATTGCTGTAATTTTCAATATTTATTAGGGATGTACCGAAGCTGCAATTTTGCCGAAGCCGAAGCTTCGGCTTAAGTTATACGTAATTTAAAGCTCAATTTACTTCACCACGGTGGTTTGAATAATCAAGTTGCTTTCAAAATTATATATCAATGTTTTAGGTTTCAATGTTTTGGCCTACATGCCCATTTTAGGAAAATTATAAAACAAAACCAATTTTATAAAAAAATTAAACAAATTTTGTACAAAAATTTAGAGAGTGAAATTTAGAGTCTTAACTCTATATATCTAGCAGGTATAGGAAAGATTACATCACTAAATCTTAGACATTTACTGATACTTAAGGTAAATTATGGTCTATTCTTTGAAAGAATTTATAAAAATGTAAACACGTAAAATGTAAAAATATAAAAGTAGTCATTATTTTAATTTGAACACAAAATTTGGTATTTGTTTTAAATTTTGTTAAAAAGTTGAATCAGTTGAACTAAGAAGCTACAGTCTATTATTTAGTTAATAAAAATTTATTCAATGAAAGCAGGCATATTACAATTTAAAAATGCAATCTGTTCTCCATGTTCGGGTAATAGTCTGTTTCTTTTTGCTTCAAATATGTTTCCAGATGTGCTAAATAAGCGTTCACTTTTTACAGATGAAGGAGGTGCGCACAAAACTTTCTTTAAAAACTTTGACAAATTCAACTTGTAAGTATCTTTATCAGAGGAAGTGTAACGGTATGCACTCCACCACTTATAAGGGCATTCATTCTTTGGCAGTATTGGAAGACTCAAGTAGAAGTTGACTTCATCGGTGCTGATACATAAAATATAAATGATAATTTTAGGTTTAAATTTTTAAAATATTACAATTTAATCAACTAAACAAAATAAAAGAATGCTGTTATCCGTCTTTTGAAATAAAAAAAATGGAGAATGAGAATAGAGATAAAAAAAATATTTAATATTTAATGTATAAACAATATAAAAATCATAAATAGATTCTGTTTTCTTACCATTTTTCTTTGACAGTTAGAGTTTTTCCCATTGAACTAGTGTTTTTTTTCTTTTTTCTCCGTCCGTCAGAATTTTCTGAATTTTGTAGAGCATACTCATTTGCACCGATTTGGTGGAACAAGCTATATATGTCCATGCTCATTAGTTTTTTTTTTTTTAATGGAGAGCCATGGCCATCAAAATCTGAGTCATGAATTTCGGACTCATGAATTTTAGATTCTGAAAATAAACTTAATGATTCTTCTGAGTCTGATCCACTACCTCTTTCTACACCAAATTCAATTTCTTTTACTTGTTCTAAATGAGATTTGGAACAAAAACGGTAGAACTCTAAATGGAGTATTTCTTTAAACATATTATGATTCTTGTCTTCAACAAACTTTAACTTGAAACGAGGATCAAGCATCATCGCGATTTTTAAATCAACATTATCCTTGTATTTTTGAAAACGACAGTTAAAATCTTTCTTAAGTTCATCAACAACAGTTTTTATTTCAGTTGCCGTGTCACAAACGTAGTCTAGAAACTTTTCCATTGCATAGATAAATGGTATAATCTCTGATATACATGCCGTTTCTTTACTCATGTCTTTTGTAGTATTTTCGAAGTGTTTTAATATGCATACAAGCATTTCAGCAAGTTGCCATTGATTTTCCGTAGGATTTTTTGCATTTGTTTGATTTCTGGTAATGCAATACAATGTAATAGCTTTTTTCTGCTCAATGAAGCTTTCAAGCATATAGTATGTCGAATTCCATCTTGTGGAAACATCTTGAATTATGTTATGCTCTGGCAATTTTAGTTGCCTTTGAATTTCCTTTAGTTTAGCCACAGCACTAGATGAGTGATGGAAATGTCCTGCTAATGCTCGAAAAACAGCTATTGTATCACTTGCTGTTCTTTGTTCTCTAAAAATCTTTTTCTGAATACAAAGTTGTAAAGTATGTATCAGACATGGAAGATGTTTATCGCCTAAATTTGACTCTTTAATGGCAGCCATTACATTGGCTGCATTATCAGTTAAAACTGCATGAATTTTTTCATGGGGAATTTCCCATGATTGTAGCGCTTCATTTATGAATTTACTTATATTGTGCCCTGTGTGCGACTCAGGGAAGTGTGTAACTTGTAAGATGACATGTTTAACTGTAAACTCATGCGTTACAAATCTAGCTGTTAAACTGTAATACGATTGAATTGTGTGCTGACAGGTCCAACCATCACTAGTTAAACTTAAGAAATCTGCTTGATCAAGCTCATATTTTACTTTGGCTTTTATGGTTTCATACATCAGTGGAATGACTTTTGTGGAGAAATACTTTCGACTAGGTATTGTATAGTTTGGAGCTAAATTCTTTAAAAGTCGGGTAAAACCTTTATCTTCAACAATACAGTATGGCTGCAAGTCTAAACATATCATTTCTCCAATAAGCTTGGTAATAGCTTGAGCCTTAGGATTATCAAGTTGCCACAATTCTTTTCTTTGCAAAATCTCCCGCAGTGAGACCTGAAAAAAATTCAACGAATTAAAAAAATTACTTAGCAACTTGTAACTAACAATGGCCAGCGACGGATCTAAGTGGCGGATAGAGGTATGTATCTTTCCCCCCTCACCAGTACATTTATTATAATATTATAAGCTTAGATAAGTTAAGTTAACATTTTTCTATAGAAAAGATAATTTTTCGACAAGACATGCCCCCATCCAGTCACAAAATCATGAATATTGAATAGTAAATGAATTCAGCTACAGTTAGCTGAGTTACCTGTGTCGATGCTTTTTGAAAAAAGGCAATTGTGTTATTAGTCACACGCGAGCTTCCCTGCGTTTCATCTGTGGCAGTGCTGGTAATGATTTGCACTGATTCAGCAGAGCTTGTTCTATCTGAGCATATTGTTCAAGTATTGCAAAATTGTTTTATAGACTTTTCATTTGGATTTGGTAAAGATTCGTGGTTAATAATTTTCTTCTGAGAAAGAATCATGCTATGTATATTGTAATGTACTTTTTTCAGATGGTTTTGTAAATTTGTTGTTGACATGTTGTGTGCGTCTTTACTTCCTCTAGACAAAATCTTCTTGCAAAGTATGCAGATGGCTTTGCCAACATCTTCATCACTCACTTTATAATAATTCCATAAGGGATTTTTACTTCGCGATGAGGTAGCCATAATGCGCTAATGGATAACTTAAAGTTATAATAACAATTCTAAAAATTGAAATAGAAAGTTTAATTATTTTCTTACCTTTAATAATATTTATTGAAATAAACAATATTCGTTCAATTTTTTGATTCAAATATTATTTGAATTAAAAAAATCGAAGTCGTAAATAACCAATTAACCTATATTTGTAGAGCAGGTATATTTACTTTTACTAATGATCCAGCGTACAAAATCAAAAACAAACGCAGTTGACTTACATTTCAATTGTGCTTTTCTGTGTAGTGTCTTTTCTGTGTAGTGTCTTTTCTGTGTAGTGTCTTTCTGTGTAGTGTCTTTCTGTGTTCTGTCTGTGACTTAGTAAAACAAACTTTCTGAATAAAAATTGTTTCGTGCGTTAAAATTAACTTATTGTATAGATTTTTAAAAATTTCGAGAATAGTTAACTCTCTTAACTCTCGTGCGCTATGTTTTAGTTACATCTAAGTAATTTTAAATGAAGATTTATTTCCAGGTTTAATTTTTAATTTTAATTTAATATTAAAAAATATATAATTTAACATAACTCGGATTTTAGAAGTTGATGCTAACTAATAACTAAATGCTAAAAAAATTAAATTTTAATAATTTTTCATTATTTTACTACCAACTAATGCATAAATAAATTTTATTGCTAAGCTCGAGTGATCATAACTGAATATTAGGGTTATGGTATTTAATTATATAAAGTTTAATATAATGTTACAGTTTAAATCAGCTTATATTGAGTGATTATAAAAAAATCAATATGTTTCATTAAGTAACTTTACTTTCTATCCGCTATCGTGCCGTTTTTGGCCGCCCTACACGCGGCCTCGCCACCTCCAAAAGCCGTTGCTGGATTCATTTAATCTTCGCAACTGTATAAATCAGAGGCTTATTTGAATTTCTCAGAAGAAGAAAAGAAAAAAAAGAATTTTGATCGTTCAACTACGTTTTATTCGGAAAACAGACAACGTGTGAACGTTTAAAAAATGTCTTCCTCAGTCGAATGCCAGCTTAGTAATGTCCATTTTTTTGCCGAAGCCAATGATTCGGCAAAAAACGCCCATGGCTTCGGCCGAACCGAAGCTTCGGCAAACCGAAGCCGAAGCCGAAGCTTCGGTACATCCTTAATATTTATAAAAAATATAACAGTTCAATTCAGGAAACTCGAACACCCATTTTACATGTTTGAGGCGTGTAACGTAAGATATCGACTTTAAGATTTTCAAAGTGCATTTAGGGATCGTCCATAAATTACGTCACGCCATAAGGGGAGGCGGTTGCTAGTTTTGTGGACGACTCATACAAAACTTGCTTCTTTAAGTGTTAGGATTTAGTGATAAAGGGGAAGGGGAGGTCTAAATCTGTCAAAAAAATGCGTGACGTAGTTTATGGACAATCCCTTACCACTTTTAAAAAGATGAATTATTGCTCGATGCCATGACCCAGAAAAATTCTTTGGGGGTATTATTGTACTATCATTGGTGGTTACTGGGATTTAAGTCCCATTTTCAAAATTGGTTTCGAGAATTTTTATTCATCCCCAAAAACAACAAAAATAATAATGCAGTAAATTCACTGGTAAATAATAATTTTCTTCTATTTTGATCTATTCTAATTGTTTTTCTTGAGAAAAATGTCTGAACTGATTTAAAATATTCCTAATTTATTTTTTTGCTGTTGAACTCTGTGATGCATCTTTGTAGCCAGTCTTCATATTCTGGGTGGATGCTTGGTCTTATGTATCTTTGCTCATGAGCACTAAATGATGATGGAGTGCTTTAGTTTTGATTCAGTCATTGCTTAGAATAAATTCCTAAAAAGCTATTGTGATGTCTGAAGAATTGAGGAACATGGTGGATGACATCATGAGCCTTGAGAGTGTTAATGGCGTCCTGAAGTTGTAAATAGGAGACTATGAGTTTCTGTATTTTTTCAACATGGCTTTCATCAAGGACATCGTCAAAACAAGCATGGACAACATTATTGAATTTTCTGGGATGTTGAATAAGAGCGAAACTTTGCAAACACTGGTATTGGTGCAAGCTGGCATATGTGCAAAATGCGCCAAAAGAATTTGCAAACTTTGGCATAAAAGTGAATAGGCATAATTGCAAAGCAGTTACAAAAACTGGATAAGTATGAACTGGCATAAATGCACCGAATAAAAATGATTTACGACACTAGAAAACACTAGAAAGCTCCATGGGTGGAAGCATCATCAATGACATAGAATTCATCTGAAGCATAGTTGATGGGTGTATGAACAGAGTTTCCGAATGAACTTGCTTTCTTGATGTTAGCACCAGCCACATTGAATGCCTAATAATATCTACTGATTGATCCAAATGTTCTTAGAGATTCACACTTTGCAAGATCTTTTGATGAAATATCACACCAAGAGCATGATTTGTACTAGAATGTGCTTGTACAAGCACATTCTAGTATAAATCTACAATTGTAGACCACGAATGATTCATGGTGCCAAAAAAAAAGTTCCTACAATATCTAAAAGGAGGTTTTCAAAAATCAACACAGATTTATTCTAAGGAGGTTATTATTAGATCTTTTCAGTATTTTGCTACATCTAGAAGTTTGTATAATCAATTGCGAACAGATTACCAATTGCCTTCTGTAATAACTTCAAAAGTTTCTAAATTAAATGAGAAACATTTTTTGACTAATTTTTTTAAATCTGTTAAAGAAAAACAGAAACTTTGTTTTTTATTGCATGATGATGTTTATGTTTAAAAAATGTTGTTATACCATGGTGGTACATTATTCGGAAAAGCATCGACGATTCAACTTTTCTTGCAAAAACTATATTGGGTTTAATGGTTAATTGCTTATTCGGTGGGCCATCGTTTATTTCAGAAATGATACCTATAAGTAAATTAAATTCTCAATTACTTTTTGAACAAATTAATACTACTATTCAATCAATAAAGGTCAAGTTAAAGCTATAATGTGCGACGGAAATAGAATTAATTAGGCATTTGTTAACATCTTTGAAAGATCAGTTCTAGATAAACCCTAGTTGACTAACGATAGTATTTTCTTAATATTTGATTAGGTCCATTTTCTTAAAAATATTAGAAATAATTAGTTTACTAAAAAACTGGTCAACTTTTATTTTATGATAAAGGAATATGTAAAGTAGCTCAATGGGATCATCTTAAAAACTTTTTAAACTTGAATCAAAAAATTTAATTAAACTATCCAACATAAATTAAGTTTCAATATTTTTTAAGCCAATTGATCTTAAACCATGCTTTAATTAATCATCGAGGACTGCAGCATTAAAAGAAAGACTAGATACAGCAGATTTTATTAACATTGTTGTGTCATGGTGGAAAGTTCTCAATGTTAAGGAAACAGGTGCTGATATTAGATTCAATGATGAACTTCAAGCAGTAATAAGAGACCCTAATGATAATAAATTAGAAAGTATTTTAAATTTTGGAAATATGGCTTTAAAGATGTCTGGAAGGCAAGGTAAAAGGAAGAAACAACTTACTTGTGACACTGCACAGTCAATTTACCACACATGTAATGGTATTGTTGAACTATGTAAATCATTATTGGATAGCTCACATCAATATGTCATTCTTAGTGAGTTTTCTACTAATTCATTGGAAAAAGAATTCAGCAAATTGCACCAAGGTTCAGGAGGTACATATTTCATAACAGTACAACAAGTGATTGAAAAGTTGAATAATTCAAGAGCTAAGCTTTTGCTATCACTTGATAACCCAACTGTTGATACAAGTCTTGACATAACCCATTCTTGTCTAAATTATGGTTTTCTATTGGATGAGCCCTCTGCTGAGATATTATACAATCTACCAGATCTCGAATCTTTTATTTTTCTTGATACAAATATGGCTCTTAAATATATATCAGGGTATTTAACTCGTAAAGATAAAGAACTATCAGGAAATGAATTGCTAGATAAAACCAATTTTTACCACCAAAAGTATGGACAATACATAGACTCAATTGACCGTGGTGGGCCTAATATTCCCACAGATAACACCTGTCAATGAGTAATATTTTCTTTTATAGTTTTCAATGCAATTAAGGATAGAGTATGCAGAGTATCATTAAGCAATATTCTAATGATGATTTCAGAGTTTTACAATTTTGAGATGCAACGACATCATGGAAATGTTCTTTCAAATATTTTTTTGAACAATTTATGTCAATTTCTTATTCCATATTCAAATTAAGAACCAGGTCAAAAAATAATGAAGTTTTCATGAATTCTTTGACACCATTAAAAATCAATATATATATATATATATATATATATATATATATATATATATATATATATATATATATATATATATATATATATATATATATATATATATATATATATATATATATATATATATATATATATATATATATATATATATATATATATATATATATATATATATATATATATATATATATATATATATATATATATATATATATATATATATATTTTATATAATTAAAGTTTACTGACTTTTTAAAGTTTTTATTTAAAGTTTTTTTGTCGATAATCCCAGACAGCAAGCTTACATTGGACCAGCATTGGGCCAATGCATGATGATGCATTGGCCCAACGTTGAAAGTCGATGTTGGCCCAATGCAGGTTTGATCATTGGTTAGGTGTTGGCCCAACGTTGTGTACAACATTGGCCCAACGTTGTGTACAACATTGGCCCAATGTTGTATACAAGGTTTACCCAACATTGGCACAACGTTGTATATAACGTTAGGCCAATATTGAAAACAACATTGGCCCAATGTTGTATATAACATTGGCCCAACGTTGTATTCAAAATTGGCCTAACGTTGTATACAACATTGGCTCAATATCATATGTTATACGATTATTATTTTTATATCAGCCTAACGTTTTATGCAACATTAGATCGTTGTTACAAATAAGATGATTTGCATCGCTACATTGAAAAAATATAGAG